ATCTTATATCCTCTGGTTCACTCCCCAAATGGCTGCAACAGCTAGGTTTTGGCTAAGCTGAAGCCAGGAGCCAGGAATTCCATCCAGGTCTCCCACACACGTGGCAGGGACCCAAGCATATGGGCCATTTTCTGTTGCCTTCTCAGGCACATTAGCAGTCAGGGCTCAAATTGGCACTCCAATGTGGGAAGCCCACGTCACAAGTGGCAGATTAACCCACTGCATCACAACACTGGTCCCTAAATGAGATAAAATTCTAACATCTAACTGAATCAGCTGGCTCCCTCTGAGGGAACTGGCTCAAATTTAACAAGTTCCTATTCTGTGCTGCTATAACAAGCAACAGGAGGAACTAGATAAATCAAGAACACACACATGGGCGGAATAAGCAGGCAGCCCTGAAAGACCCTGCAGCCCTTACGAGGAGGGCACGCCCAGGGCAGTGGGGGGTGCTGGCCATTCCTCCCTACATGAAGAGCACCGTGCTCTGGCCACAAAGAACCCATTACTTTTCCTCCGCTTGAAATGTCACCAACAACCCAGCCAACCTCTCCCTACCCATCCCTCAATGTCCCCACACCCCCAGAATTAACTGCCGCCTGCCTTTATTAGGCATGATCACACAGCATCAGAGTTCAAGGGTGCACATCAGCCTCTTCAATTGGGGTTTCCACAAACTGCCTTCTCCTTTCACCTCTGCATCCCCTCCCCCACCACAGCACCTGAACAAAGGGAATGTTGTCAACTTCCACCATGTAGGAATGTGGAGGAAAGGTACCAACAGTGGAATACCTGGGAATGTGGTAGACATTATGGAAGACAATACAGAGATGCCTCAGGAATCTAAAAACAGATATACAGTATGACCCAGCCATTCCACCGTAGGAATTCACCCAAAGGAAATGAAATCAGCATATGAAAGAGTGATCTTTACCCCATGCTTATTGCAGCTCAATTCACAATAGCTAAGATATGGAACCAATCCAGATGTCCAACAACTGATGACTGGATAATGTGGTATGCATACACTATGGAATACTACTCAGCCATAAAAAAGAATGAAATCCTGTCTTTTGCAACAAAATGGATGCAATTGGTTATCATTATGTTAAGTGAAATAAGGCAGTCTCAAAAAGACAAATATCATATGTTTTCTGATATGTGGCAGGTAATATAGAATAAAAAAAGTACAGGAATGAAATGGTCACTTTGGGACATGAGTGTCATTTTCACTCGTGTTTATACTCTTGTGGAACTATGCTGTTCCTACTTTTTACTTGTTGAATATTATGATTAGTGGTGAATTAAGCCTATGGGTATACAGTGGACTAAAATTATGACTTTACAAACATTGATGAATTGAGGGGAGGGAGGGGGATTGGAGGAGAGCAGGAGAGTGAGGGAAGTGTGGTTGTCTTTTTGAAAGTGTAGCTGTAGAATGCATGAAATATGTTCTCTTTATATTAATAAAAATTTAATTTCTGTATGTTACAGAATAGCTAGCATTCACTGAGCATCTACCGTAGTCCAGGCACTGTTGTGAACACTGTAACATGCATTAACTTGTGCCATACAATGATTATAATCATTGTTACAATCCCCATTTCACAGATGAGAGAACTAAGGCCCAGAGAGGCCCAGGCTACATTGAGTATGGCACCTGCCCTGAAAGGAACGAGTGCTGGAGGTGCACAGACAGGCCTGCAGGACATGTATGCAGCATGAACTGGAGGGAAGATCAGTAGTCAAGAAGATGGAGAAAGCAAATTTGAATTTGACCATTTTGCCTGGAGCCACAGTCGCAGAGGAGAAAAGACAGTGTTAGCCCTCACTGCTATAAAGAATCCTCTTTAAAAAAAAAAAAAAAAAAAAAAAGATTTTATTTATTTAAATGAAAGTCAGAGTTACACAGAGAGAGGAGAGGCAGAGAGAGAAAGAGGGGTCTTTCATCTGCTGGTTCACTCCCCAATTGGCCGCAGTGCCGGAGCTGCACTGATCCAGGAGCCAGGAGCTTCTTCTGGGTCTCCCACGCAGGAGCAGGGGCCCAAGGACTTGGGCCTTCCTCTAGTATTTTCCCAGGCCACAGCAGAGAGCTGGATCAGAAGTGGAGCAGCCGGGTCTCGAACCGGCACCTATATGGGATGCCAGAGCTTCAGGCCAGGGCGTTAACCCACTGCGCCACAGCACCAGCCCCTACAAAGAACCTTCTTTCCCACACCCAGAACAGATGTTTCTGCCTTGGAACAAGGGTTCCATAGAGATGGAAGCTGGGCCAGGGAGTCTGAGGGAGGACTCGGAAGACAACAGACTTTGCTGGGTGTGGAAAAGAAATGGAACTGTAATTCCTCAGGAATATAAAAGCTGAGGACATTGGGTGGGGTGGGCGGAGGGAGGCTGCAGGCGCTCCAGGACACAACTGCCATAGCTTTTTTCCAGTAGAAATGTTTTTGACCATTTTCACCCACGACAAGAGTTTGGCTTCACTGGAAGAGCAAATGCCATGACTGTAGCAAGCTAACACTCCTAGTAGCATCTTCATCGTCACAGGTTTGAAATCTCAGCAGGAAGACCCCTTCTGCAGTGAGCGGCAGTGCCAAGCTGTAGCCACCCCTCTGAAAAAGTTCCAGACAGGTTTGTCTGTTGAGTGGCAAAGGTCCCCAGAAAGTGTCCTCTCTTCTGCTTCCCGCCTGACTTTTTTTTTTTTTTTTTTTTTATTCTGACACAGCAGAGTGGATAGTGAGAGAGAGAGACAGAGAGAAAGGTCTTCCTCTTGCCGTTGGTTCACCCTCCAATGACCGCCACTGCTGGCGCACTGTGGCCGGCGCACCATGCTGATCCGATGGCAGGAGCCAGGTGCTTCTCCTGGTCTCCCATGTGGGTGCAGGGCCCAAGCACTTGGGCCATCCTCCACTGCACTCCTGGGCCACAGCAGAGAGCTGGCCTGGAAGAGGGGCAACCAGGACAGAATCCGGCGCCCCGACAGGGACTAGAACCCGGTGTGCCGGTGCCGCTAAATGGAGGATTAGCCTATTGAGCCACGGCGCCGGCCTCCCTCCTGACTTTGCTTCTTCCCACAAAACCCACTGATGCAGGGCTTGCACACCCTGCGCTGCCTCCAGTGGAAATCCGAGAAGGTAAGACTGAGGGCCGTAACGTCCAACTCTTCCTCAGGGAGAAAAACAAGGGGTGCAACTGAAGCTGCAGCAAATCCACAGGAAACCACGGGGCTCAGGCTGTGGATCCACAGGTGGGCTGGACCACAAGGAACTGGTTGTCAAGGGCAACGGCACCCAACAAGCACACAGGAAGCAACAGGTCACCCTCAGGAGAAGGGGAAAGATGCTAGGACTTGGAGAGTGACATCCACTTTCAAGATTTTTCCATCATCTTGATCAAAGCTTCTTTCCTACTGTGGTCCCCCGTTATCACCACACCAGGGACACCAGGGACACCAGGGACAAACCCAAAAGATACAGACAAGAAGTCTCCTATGCGGCGGCTCTGGCTGTTTGAGAAAAGAACCAAGCAATGCCACAGGGGGCTGTAAGCATCTGGGTAGGAAGGTTGGAAGGGAAATGGGACATTGACAGCTGATCGGATGAAATCACTTGGCATCAGCCTGAACAGGAACAACACAGGAAAGCCAGATTTTACTTCTCATTGCCGACGACGGAACAGTTTCACCACCAAAACGAGTATCTCATAAACAATTTACAAATATGTCCAGGAGCTGGTATATTGCAAACAAAAACCCAATGCGTGTCTCTGAGCTGATGGATAATAAGGGGTTACAGATATCACACTCAGGATTACCTCTTCACACATCACTGAAAACTGCTGCAGGTATTAAAATCCAGGCTGAAAATCCTCCAGAGGCCTCTCTCCTGCATGAAGGCTACTGAACTTCGTAACCACTATAATCACAGCGGAAAACTCCTTGACAGTGACTTAGGCACAGCACTCAAGTGGGTGACCCTTCAAGTGAGTCCAAGGAAAGTGAGCTTTGCAGTAAGCTAAGACAAGAAAGATTTTCAACCTGAAATCCTTTTATCTGAAACTGTGTGGAATCCTTTTTCATCTGCTTTGAGGAAGGGGCACACCAGGAAAGAGGTCCTCACTGGTCCTTCCCAAAAAACCAAAGGAACACCTTGCCCAATGGGAGAGCCGTCTTCCTTGATGAATTAAATGTAGCAAGAGCCCAGAAATTTCATCGCAAACACAAAAATCTGCCTTTCATAGGTGCCACAGGAATCCTTCCTATTTCAAAGACTTGCTGACTGCACCGTGGAAGTTTGGACTGGCGGTAGCAGAATAATTCCACCATCACTACCCCCACCAGTTAAAACAGATCTCTTTATATCGCCCGAGAGACTAAAGAAATCTATTTCCCGGGAGCTGCTGGGAGTCTCCGAAGGGATCAGGATCCTGCACACAGTGGGTTATGCACTTGAATCCCTCGGCAAGGTGCGAGCGATCATTTAGGTGTCCCCAAAAGAAGGGGGCCCCTTCATCAACACGGAAGCGAAACGCTATTTGCGAGGCCGGCATGGAAATTGCCTTCAACTCTAGCGTTCCATGCAGTTAAGACACCGTGGCCCGTCCACAGGGAGACCAGGAGACAGACATAGATCGAGTGGCCATCCACACCCTGAAAGGCGTCCTGCCTAAAGCACATCCCTTTTCGGGTGTCCCAAACACACCGTGGCTTCATCCACACGGAGCGTGCCTGCGGGACCCCCGGGAAGCATCTGCAACTTGTGCGGAGAGAAGACGCGACGCGAAGGCATCTCTTTTCTTCCCCGCCCAACGCTGCCTTCCCCGGAGACAGCTTCCCAGGCTGCTGACAGTTCTCCCGCTGCCACCGCGGCAAAGCGCAGGGAAACCCTCAGCGCCCGGCATGCAAACCCTCCAGCCACCGCCCCCCGGTCGGGCGCAGGCCCCGACGGCCGGCCCGGCTCCTCTCGAAACACCCGCGAGCGCAACCCCCGCCCGGGGCTTACCTGGATCCGCCCGGCTGTGCTCGGCAAGGGCCGCCAGCAGCAGGAGTCCCAGCAGCAGCCGCAACAGCGGCGGCGGCGCCGGCGCATCCTGGGACGCATCGGCTCCGGGGCCCCGCGTGGGTCCGGGGCCCCTCACTGCCGGGCAGCGCGCGGCTCCTGCGCCGGCCCCGCCGAGCCCACCACGCGCACGGGACCGGCCCCGGCGTGCCGGCGCCGCCGGCCCAGCGTCGCTCGGGCTCCGGGGCTTCGCCGCCTGCAAAGCCATGGGGATTCTTCACACATCCAGGCCGCTGCCTCGCTCCGCACCGCGCCGGGGAGCCCAGCCCTCGGCGCCCCGGTCCTCACCGGGCATCTCCCGCCATGGCCCGGGCGCCGGGTGGCGTGACTGGCTGGCTTGTCCTGCCGCCCCTAGGGCGGGCTCCGCGGAGCCCCGGCTTCACTGGCGCAGGGGTCCGGGCTGCATGAGGCGGCGGCGGGCGCGGGCCGGGGTTCCCACGGAGCCTGTCGCCGCGCGTCAGCGCGCCCCTGGCAGCAAGGGTGGGACGGGCGCCGCCCGGGGCCCCCTCGCCGGGGTCGCCTCCTGCACACTGAGGCGGCGAGGCTACGAGGAGCCGCGGCTGGCGGCGGCGGCGGCGTGGCGCGCTAGGTTCCTTCCCGCCCGCCTCCGGCTGCTGCCTATCCGGTCCGCTCTCGGCGCAGGCTGGCTGGGCTCAAGGCTCCCGGGCCGCGAGTGCTGCTGCAGCTCCGAGCGGCGCCTCATTGACAAAGGAAGCACGTAGTCACCGGAGCGGCGAGGGAGGCGAGGCCGGCGCGCGCGCGCGCAGCCCCGCGCGGAGCCACGGCGCGCCCCCAGCTCCCGCGCGCCCGGCCGGCCCCGGGCCCAACAGAGAGACCCCTCCCGGGCGTTCCCGGGCCGCGCGAGTCTGCACCGGAGGCTTCCCTCCGCCGCTTTCCCTGTCAGCCCCCGGCGACGAGCAGGGCAGGTGGGCCGTGGGGCCGGCGGGCCGCGGAACGGGGCAGTATCCGGCCCTTTCAGCCGGGTTTGGGAAACGCTCTTTGTGGACCAGCGGGCGCGCGCGCCGCTGCTTGTTGGCTCCTTGGCGGAGGGGGCGGCCGCACCTGCCTGCCCCGCTTGCCCCTGAGGAGCTGGAGCGGCCGCGGCCGGCTCACCATCAAAGGCTGGATTGCAACGCGCTGTCAATACTTGTTGCAGCCATACTACGGGACGGCGCTGAGACGTCTCCTCAAAAAAAAGCCCCTCCTCGCACCCGGGGGAGTTAGGCATCGTGACACCCACGGGACGAAAAGCTGAACCGACCACCCGCTTGTGCCCCTGCCAACTCGGTGGCCTTCAGTGAGGTTCGTGAGCGCGCCTCACACCACTCAGCCAGTTCGGACAAGGGGTCCCCAAAAAGTTCACGGAGAATTCACGTGCGCTTTTCCTTTCTTTTTTTTTTTTTTTTTTTTTTTTAAGCTCGTGTTTGCTGCATTGGGCGCTGGGGATACAGATGGGGAAGAGAAACACTCCTCCCTGACAATCAGCAATCCTGGCGGACTGCCTGTAAGTGCCAGGGCCTGCCAGATGCCCGGGCTAGAGCCACCACCAAGGATGCATGGCAGCAAACAAATACCAGGGAAATGTCAGACAGGGGTAGGTGCTACAGGGACGTGAGGAGAGGGAATGACAAGGGTGTCGGCGTGGTAATTAGGGGAGAAGGGAGTGTGTACGCAGATCTGAAGGAGGGAACAAGCCACAGTAGCACCACAGATAAAGGGAACAGCGGGGGGCAAAAACCTGGAGGCAGAGCCGGGCTGGTGTTCTCCGGGCTCAGCAAGCCAGCCAGGGGGGCTGGCTGGAGAAGTGTGAAGTCACAGTTACTGTGTATCTGTAAGCTAGGATTCACACCGTCTTTCATCCAAGACACTTTTCCCCACGGTCGGTCGCATGTTCCTGTGTAATACAGGAACCCTAATCTAAAACTCTGAAACCTAAAATGCTTCAAAGTCGGAAACTTTTTTGAGTGCCATGATTTTTAGATTTGGAGCATGTCAGATGAGGGATGCTCAGACATGAAATTTGCAAGAATATTCTAAAATCCAGCAAACTCTGAAATCTGAAAACTTCTGGCTCCAAGTACTTCAGAGCAGAGACACTCAACCTGCACTTTGATGGGGTTGTGCTGTGAGCTTGCCCTGGAGTTCCATCAGTCCTGATGCTCTACATTGTTTTGAGAGACTTGCAGTCTTGTTGAGACCACAAAGAAATTCTTGAAGTCAGTGTGAGACACTGATGAGAAAGGCAGTCCCCAGCCATGATCTGGGCAGCATCACAAGACAACAGGAATGGTCATCTTGAAGCCGCAATCCCAGGGACAAGGAGACAGGGCTGAGGGGTGCTGGCAGGCTGGCCCTGCCAAGAGGGACTGACAGCAGGGTTCCCAACAGCATAGATTTTAAGGACCAAGGAACAAAGTGGGCTGAGCAGAGCTGGGAGGAAGGCAGGAAAATGCAGGATTGGAGAAGTGGGGCTGCTTGTTCAAAGCCCAGAACTTGTATTAGGGAGAAGTAGAAAGCAGGGGAAGAGAGGAGGTTGAGGCCAATTTGTGGGAGGCCTTGGATGCATTTAGGCTTTTCCCCAAAGGGGAAAAGGAGGAGAAAGGGAGAGGGGAAGTTAGCTCACTCTTGGGACCAGCAGTCCTGTAGCAGGCTCTAAGTTGAGAGCTAAGGACGTGGAAGTGCATGCAAGTGGGGTGGAGCAGGTGAAGCCCTTAGTAGCCACAAGCTCCCCCGCTCCCCTAACAGTGCTTTCCTGCCCCTGGACTACTGCAGTGCTGATGGGATGCAGAGAGGGAGGGGATAACTGGGAGCCAGACAGGTAGTCTGGGTTCACATGGGAAGAGAAGAAAGTTGCCGGCTGGAGAGACAGGAAAGACCCAGAGGGACAGAGAGGCAAGGCTCACCTACAGCTGAGGTCCCCACGGGAGTTTAGAGAAAAAGGAGAGACTGGGGGAGTGCGGGACGGGCAGCTGCCTGCCATGGGGCTAAGAGATAGCAGATGCTGCCTCAGAAAGATCTCTTCTGTGTGGAAATGGGATTTTCCCTTCAGCATGTTTTTGAGCAGGCTCAGCCAAGAGTCCATCTTATTAGATCTGATTTGGCAATTGCAACCCTCTGAAGTCTCTTGAATTGCTTTCTAGCTTGGGGTCTGTGAATTCATCTCTGTCCCTTCCCCACGGGTCCCACAATCTAGTGAGAGGAACAGACACAGACAGCAGTACCTTTAGAGCAAGGTGCTGAGTGTGTGACGGAGGTGTCGGCTCATCACCTGTCGTCATGGGATGGGGGAAGGAGTGGCTCCTTCTGCCTGGACAAGGAAGAGAGGTGAAAGAAGGAAACAGTTAAAGTTGGAGCTTGCCAGGCACAGCAAGTGGCAAGGTAGAAAGACATGAAAGCTGGCAGCAGTTCTTAAAGAAGGGGAAGGTGGGACCAGCGCTGTGGCGAAGTGGGTAAAGCTGCTGCCTGCAGTGCTGGAATCCCATGTGGACATTGGTTCAAGTCTTGGCTGCTCCACTTCCAATCCAGCTTTCTGCTCTGGCCTGGGAAAGCAGTAGAAGATGGCCCAAGTCCTCAGTCCCCTGCACCAGCATGGGAGACCTGGAAGAAGCTCCTGGCTCCTGGCTTCAGATCAGCACAGCTCTGGCCATTGTGGCCAATTGGGGAGTGAACCAGTGGATGGAAGATCTCTCTCTCTCTCTCTGTTTCTCTCCCTCTCTCTGCCTCTCCTTCTTTCTCTGTGTAACTCTTTCAAATAAATAAATAAATCTTAAAAAAAAAAAAGAAGAAAGGGAAGGTATCTGGTGGGTGGTGGGGTGGCACGGAGGTATATGGGGACATCCTGCTTCAAGGCAGGAGGTCCAAGTTGGAACAGATCCTAAAGCCTGAGAGACCAGGTACTGAGTCTGTACCTTCCCTCCTCCAGTAGGAACAACTCTGGAATGGCTTTCTGCTAGAACAGGAAACTTGAGTCCTTGATTGATGAGTGTACAGACTGAAAATTTACTTCCATTTAAATTCAGGCTCTGGCCAGTGCTGCTGTTCACTAGGCTAATCCTCCGCCTGTGGCGCCGGCACCCCGGGTTCTAGACCTGGTCGGGGCGCTGGATTCTGTCCCAGTTGCTCCTCTTCCAGTCCAGCTCTCTGCTGTAGCCCAGAAGTGCAGTGGAGGATGGCCCAGGTCCTTGGGCCCTGCACCCGCATGGGAGACCAGGGGGAAGCACCTGGCTCCTGGCTTCAGATCAGTGCAGCACGCTGGCCCCAACACGCCAGCCGTAGCGGCCACTTGGGGGGGTGAACCAACGGAAAAAGGAAGACCTTTCTCTCGTGCGCCCGTGCGTGCTTACTGTCTAACTCTGCCTGTCAAAAAAATTAATTAATTAATTAAAAAATAAAAATAAATAAATTCACGTTCTACCATCTACCGGCTGTATAACTTTTGGCAAATCACATCATCTCCATGTATCTCATCTCTAAAACAGGAAACATAAGAGTAACCCTCCCTGGGTTGTTTTAAGGATTGAGTTGGTACATGTCAGGCATTTAGAAGTATACACAGTAAGCATTTACTCAATCTTATTTTATATAACAATTGCAACCCTCTTGAACTGTAAACCTTTTGTTCATTTTAGTCTACCTAGCTAAGGCCTTGGGGCTTGTGTGTAAATTTACTTGGATTGCTACATAGCTTTAAAAGGCCAGTGTCTCAGGGCTGGCACAGTGATGTAGCAGGTAAAGCTACTGCCTGCAGTGCTGGCATCCCATATGGGTGCCGGTTCAAGTCCTGGCTGTTCCACTTCCCATCCAGCTCTCTGCTATGGCCTGGGAAAGCAGTAGAAGATGGCCCAAGTCTTTGGGCCCCTGCTCCCGCGTGGGAAACCCAGAAGAAGCTCCTGGCTCCTGGCTTCAGATCAGGGCAGCTCTGGCCATTGTGGCCATCTGGGGAGTGAACCAGCAGGTGGAAGACCCCTCTCTCTCTTTCTCTGCCTCTCCTTTTCTCTCTGTATAACTCTTTCAAGTAAATAAATAAATCAAGTAAATAAATAAATCTTTTTTTTAAAGGCCAGAGTCACATGCAAAGCCTTCTGTTGGATGGGAAAGATCAATTTCTGGGCAGTGATTTTAGGGCTTTGATGGAAAATTCTGCCATTACCATACAGGAGAAATACCGGGGCTTCTGCTCTCCATCTCTTCGCAGTAAGCAGATGTTCTCCTCCTCTAGTCCTACTCTGGCTGATACTCCTTGCTGGTACAAAGCTCAAGTCCACACCAAACTCCCTCTTTCAGACACTGGGTACTTTTCCAGGTCCCGGGCTCCCTACCATGAGCAAGGCCATCCCCTCACTCTCAGAGAAGCCAGTGAAGGAGGCTATGGGTTCATGCGGAGGAGAGTGCTGAGAGAGAAGGCTGCAGAGGCAGCAAGGGGAACCTGCTGTGCTGAGGAATTTAAACTCACCTATATAAACCAGGGTGGCCTAAAGGGCCATGGTATGTATTTCAGGCAGCGTATAGATTCCTTTTAAAAATGAAATTTCAAACACTTTTCTTTGCTTTCCATGTCATGGAGAAAACACTGGATATACCTGGGATGGGACATTCCCCGGCACTGCCTGCACCTCACTGCCCTGCCCTGGAGCAAATGCTTAGCACAGTGAGGTGGGTGCCCTGCAGCAGAGACTCGC